CCCTCAAAAGCTTTCCAATCTCAGTAACTAACATCCTGATTCACTTAGTTGCTAAAGCCAAAATCTAGGTCCCATCCTTGATTCTTCTCTTTTCTGCACAGTCCGTAATCTCCCTGCCCTGTCTTGCCAGCCCTGTCTACCTCCAGAATGGGTCTGTATCTGACTGCTTCTCACCATTTTTCTGATTCCATCCTAGTCCATGCCACCAGCATCTCTCACTTGAACTTCTGAAACAGCCTCTATCCTGTTCTCCCTGCCTCCACTCTTGTCCCCTAGAGTCCTTTCTCTAGAAGGTGGCCAGTAGGATCTTTACAAAGCGTTAATCAGGCAAGTCACTCCCCTCCTCAAAAGCATTTAATAGATTCAGTTATAAACAGAATTAAATTCAAACCAAGCTCTTACTATACCTGCAAGCCCTATGGGATCTGACCCATAACTAGCTCCCAAACTTAATTCTCTTCACTCACTAGTGTGAAAATTAATAAAGGGAAACCTCACTTAAAATGGAGTCAGGAGGCCAGAAGGGGAGCCCTCACAGTACTACCTCTCATGTCAATTGCAGGAAGGATTGTCAATTATAGACCTCAACAGAAAGAACTCCTCAACAGGAAGAATCATCATTTACAGACCCCAAAAGGCAGAGAAGTACATTGTATCCCCTGCAAAAAATCGACCACCCAAGCAACTCAGCCAATGAGAAACCGTCACCACCCTGAATTCTCGCTTTCCACCAATGGACTTTTGTTCAAAACAACCCCTCCCAACTTCTTCCTTTTTCTCTATAAAATAACATTCCTTTCCTTTGCTTTCTGGACTTACCCACGCCTTTTGCTATAGTTTGCTTGTCTCGAATTGCAATTCCTTTGCTATTTCCAAATGAACTCATTTTTGCTGATAAAGTAACTGGCTGCTTTATTTTTAGGTCAACACTAGATTCCAGCCCACTGCCCTCTGTTTTCCCTTTTAGGTGGACTGAGCTCATCCCCATCTCAGGGTACTTACCTTGGTTGTTTTTTATGCGTGGAGTACTCTCTCCCCTGATTTTATTATGACTCTTCTTCTCATTGCTGAAGTCTCAACACAGATGTCACCTCCTGTTCCTCCAGCTACAGCTGCTCTCCCAGGGAACTCTCTATCATGTTACCCTACTTCATGTTCTTCATGGTATATCAGTACCTGGAGTTGTCTTAACTTTTTTAATATAGATATCATTCATCTCCCTCTTGCTCCCAGCCCCGCCACACACACCAAAACATAAAGCTCTTTTAAGGATAGAAGTCCTGACGGCATCGCTCACTTCCTATCCCAGCACCTGAATATTAGACAGCAGGTGTTCTTAATCTGGGGTCTGTGAACTTATATAGAAAAAAAAGTTAACATCTTTATATCCCTAACTACTGACTGAAATTTAACAGTTCTTTCCATGATGAATATATGCGACAAACCATAGCAATATTACCAGTGACTAATATGACTTTGATGCCATAAGAAGTCACAGATATTTTCTTATGGCATTATTATTATTATCAATACCTCAAAATACACTGTTTTGCTTGTCACTATTTTAAAATTACTATAGTTGTATTAGACCTGTTGTTAGTTCTCATTATTTAATGAATTAATAAAGAAGCATATATATTATCATAAATGTGCTTTTAAAATATCTTAATAAGTATTTCAACATAATCGTTCTCCTTTGGAGTTCTCTGCATTATATTCTGAATTGAGGTCCATTACACAAAAGAAGTTGAGAAGCCCTGCTGTAAAGAACTTCCAGAGGCAGAATGCATGTTCCTTTACACAGCTATTGTCTCTGGAGGCCACTGAAATAAACTCAAAGAAGCAAAAATAGAAAATTGCAAAAACTAGGGAACTGCCTCATGCCAAAACCAACAAGGACTATTTGCTGAATTTGAAACAATGAGGGCCAAATGAAAAGATGACATTGGGAATCAACTTCCAGTTGCCTACCAGACTCATGGGCTGGGTGCATTCCTCAGGAAATAAGAGGGAAGTGTCCTAGGCCAGGGCCTCCACGATCTTTCCACCAGAGTGAAGTGAAGCAGTAGGAAGTGCATCTGGGAACCACATGAACCCTTGCAATTCTGGTGTCCCAGGCCCTTTTGCTGTGACCTCAGGGCTAGAGGAGAAATATGTGGTTATGACTCGGCCCTTGCTTATTTTCCCCCAGCTTCTTAAATCAAGATGGAAAGTTGAGGGCCGGCTCCGTGGCTTAGCGGTTAAGTGTGCGCGCTCTGATGCTGGCGGCCCGGGTTCGGATCCCGGGAGCGCCCCGAGGCACCACTTCTCCGTCCAACGTGAGGCCGAGTCCCACGTACAGCAACTAGAAGGATGTGAACCTATGACATACAACTATCTACTGGGGCTTTGGGGGGAAAAAACTGAATAAATAAAATCTTTAAAAAAAAAAAAAAAAAAAAAGATGGAAAGTTGAGATTGACCAACTTTGCAACAATGGATCAATTTAACTCTGATGGGAAAAATATTGCTGATGCTGCAAACAAAATGCCTCTGTACTGCCTAATGGCTGACAGCCCTGAAGATGCAGGTTGTTGAAGAAACAACCACCAGGACAACAAAAAGCAAGGCTAAGGAAAACATCTGAACTATCGTGCTACCTGTGCTGGTGTTCCCTGAGCTTTCACCTAGCCTAGGATCTGAAAGACGGATTTAAAGCTTCCAGCCCTCCAGCTCCAGCCTGATGGGAAGATGAAAATGGTGACCAGGTAAACAAAGAGAAGAACTGAGGAAATTCTACCACACCGTGTTTGGGGAATTACAAGCTCAGGTAGAATCAGTCCTAGCCAGAGAAAAGTAATTAGAAAAGTCGAATGTGTTAGATATTTTGGAAGGAAAAAGAAGGCAGAAAAAGAATATAGCATGCTAATGAAAAATGAACACATTTTCAAAGAAGATTTCATTAGAGAGTGTAAGCACAATCAAAATTTAAAATATTCCATAAACTTTCTGAATTACAGAGGCAGGCAAGGGGGCAGGAGGAAGAGGAAGACCACAGAGATAATGAGGACATTTTTTAAGGGAATATAAAATAAAATGACAGAAAATGAAGATATTTGTAATGATAATGAATGCAGTTGGATTAAATTCATCTATACAAGGGAGACAGCACACAGTGGGTGAAATAATTGAGCCCTAAAATGTACCATTTGTAAGAAACACATATTAAATGAAATGACTCAAAAAGGTGGAATTTAAAGGCTATGAAAAAGTATTCTATGGAATCTACAAGAAGCACACACAAAAAATTTGATGTTGTGCTATCAATATCAGAAAGTCAATTAAGAGTAAAAATCATATTATGGAAAAGGCCGATATTTTACAAAATCAAAATTAAATTTCCAATTAAGTTATACTTGTCAAAATCTTTTTGAAATTGTAATATTACATCAGAATATTCAATAATAACTGCTTTGACATAAACAGAAATTAATAGAAATAATAATGGAAAACTTTAGTGTAACTTTTAGTATCTAATAGGCAACTATGTAGAAACAAATAAGATTCATAGAGTCTGAATAAAGTAATATGATTGCTGCCATGGCTGTGCCCAACTCTATACCATGGAAATAGAGGATAACCCTTTGCTAATGCCTGTGGAATATTTCCTAGTGCTGTTATGTGCTTATTCATAAGGACAATCTCAGCAATTTATATGTTAAAATATTTGTTCGAGCTCCCATATTTTCCAACTATTGGTTATATTCCATTCACTTACACAAAATTTATTAACATGTTTAATTCTAGATCCAGATTTTTGCCATTTTTAATCAGCAATCTTGAGTGTATATATATCTTGGTGATTTTTTGTGACTGCAACATTGTGGAAATTCTTAGTACTGGCAATACTGAATCAATTTAATTTTTGATTGATACTATCAAATTTTCCTCCAACCGTCATTTGGACCATTTCTTTCAATAAATCTGCTAACTAGTTATTGTTGTGTAACGTGAAAAGATTTATTTCTGTGTTAACGAGTTAGTCAGGAAACTTACTGTATGCATTTCTTGTTTCTATAGCTTTCCAATCAACCCACTTGGATTTTCCAGGTACGCAATCATATCATCTGCTCATAATGGTAATTTTACCCTTCTCCAATGTGAATTCCTTTATGTCTTTCTCTCTCAACTCCTCCCTCTTAAATGAAAACCTTGCTGCTTATTGCAGAGATAAAATGCCAGCCCATATACTGACCCACCATGTGTGTCATCAACTCTACCTTTTCTCCACTACTTTGGATAAACTCTAGGTTCATATCCAAGGCCAACCCCTGCACTGTGCTTGGATATCATCCCTTCTGGATGACTCAAGTCTTTAATTCTGCCCGTGAACCTTCTCTCCTACATTGTGAAACCTCATTATTGGATTATACCATCAGCTTAAATACTATTGCACCCAATTCTAAAACAAACAACAAACAAACAAAAACTCCCTAATGCCACATCCCTCTATAGGCACCATGCCAGTTCTCTGCTCTCCTTTGTAGGGCTATCTATTCTGGCCGTCTCCATTTCCTCAGCTCACATTCTCTCCCTTCCTTCCTTCCTTCCTTCCTTCTTTCCTCCCTTCTGCCCTCCCTCCCTCCCTTCCTCCATCTCTCTCTTCCTTCCTTCCTCCCTTTCTTTCTTCCTTCATTTCTTATAATATACAGATACAGAAAACCACATAAAACAAATGTGTAACTCAATGAACACTCTTTTAATTGCCTGGATGTGAAAAATAAAATATCACCAGGACCCTAGAAATTTTCTATGTGATCTATCCTAATCACAACCTCTCCCACCCCCTTAAAAGTAATGACTATCCTGACATTTAGAGTAATGTCTTCTGTATGTCTTTATAGATTAATCACCTACGTATGTATCCCTACAGAGTTTAGTTTTGCCAGTTTTTAAAAATTTGTCTTTTAAGTCTGTTTTAATCTAGAGATTCCCCCTTCATCTTTTTTTCCCTCATAATTTATTTGTTAAAGAATCTGAGTCTTTTGACCTGTAACCTTCCTACCATTTATATTTGCTGATGATACCCTTAGGCTTTATTTCAACATATTCCCTGTTCTCTGTATTTCTTCCAAAACAGTAGCTGTTCCCAGAGGCTTGATCATATTCAATTTGATTTTCTTAGCAAGACCTTAGCGGTAGTATGTTCTTCCATCAGGATGTACACAATGTCTCTATGTCTCTCTTCTGTGGTGTTAACAGCTGTTGATGCACAATACTTGGATCCCTTAATTCATTGGGGTTTGCAAAAGGGGGATATTCTACATCAATCAATTCTTGCTTCTGTATAAGCTGAAATAATTCTACACAAAGATATTTCTCCTTCTATTTACCACTGACAAAGTTTAGAGAAGAAAGACACAATATCAGATTCTCTTTTGAACTTTAATGGATCCTTTGTCTTCATCATTCATTTGAAAATCATTCTAGCCATGGTAACCTTTAAGGTACCTCTTGCCAAACCCATTAGTAAATTTTCAGACCTTATATAATTTGACCCCTTGATAGCATTTGCCATGGGTACTTATTAACCACATTTTCACTTCTTTTCTGAGATACTACTTTCTCCAGCTGTTCTTCCTACTTCATTGAAGGCCTTTCCCAGTCTTCCCTGCAAACTTCTCCTTCTCTTCCTCACCTTCAGGTGTTAGAGAGGCCCAGGATCCCAAATTTATATCTCTAGTCCCAGTATCTCCCCAGAATTCCAGAGTAGCACATCTTCTGGGTTGCATGCCATACCCAACAGGAAGTCAAATAGTTTCATACTTCACATGGTCTACTCTTCTTCCCTCTGCCTGCACCCCTTATTTTTCTCCATCTCAGTCAGCAACACCACAGTTTGCTCAGGGGTCACCCTCAGCTCCTCTCTCTCATGTATCCCCAGTTTCAAAATCTGTCCTTAATCTATCACTTCTTACCTTCAGAGGCATGTGTGTTGTTTTTCTTTAGCCCAGTCCTGAATTTCTGCTTTAGCAAATATAAGGTAGAAAATTGTGCTTATCACGTTAACGCCTGCTGTCAGGAAGAAGATTTTAAACCAAGAAGATTCTGGATCCTGAGGGATTAAAATGCAAAGTAATTATAAATTATTAGCCTTGTTGTTGTACTTTGTAATATTTAAAAGGTAATATTAAAATTAATATAGGTTCCACAGATCACTTAACACACACGGAAAAACACACTCATAAGGAGCAAAAAGAGTCATAACTTCACTCCACAAAGATAATTGCTATTTGTCTTTCTGCTTTTTGACCCACGTCAATGTACATACAACTTTTCACGTATAAAAATGACATTATAATGTACATAGTGCTAAAGCCAAGATTGCATATGGTTTTTCATTTAGAAATATATTGTAAACATGTTTGCATATCAAGAAATATTTAACTGTATCATAACCTTTACTGACTAGTCATCCAGAGTTTAGATCTATAAAATTTATGAACACATCTCTTATTTCTTTATATTTATGTTGTTTTTCGCTCTTTGCTGCTGCAAATTTGAATGTCTTGGTGGTTAATTACATACATATCAATGCTTTTGAATAAAATTTATCAAATACCTTTTTATTATTTATCAAAATGGTTGACACATTTTCTCTTTCAGCCTATCAATATGATCAGCTTCCTTAATAGATTTTGTAATATTGAGCCTCTTTTACTTTCATAGAAAATGGCCTACTTAACAATGGTACCAAATATATTTTAATATGCTGGTGGATTCTATGCACAGGTAATTTATTTCATTTTTTGCATCTGTATTCAAAGATTACAATAAATTTCAATTATGTTTCAGATTTTACCATTTTGCCCTTTATTTTTTCCATCAGCGGAGGTTAAATTTTATGTAGTTAAATGTATAATGCATTGTGATTGCGTTTTGTTCTCTGGTGCCATACTTTTGAAGGATATCCTGCCTAAACTTCATATAATTATTAACTCTGATTTTACTTTAGTATCTTTATTGTTTCCTTTCTTCATTTACATTTTAATCACCTAGAATTAATTTGGGGGTAAGATATGAGAATAGAGCATAATTATATTTTTCTATAAGTAGGCTTGCCACTTTGTTTTAAAAAAATCAATCAATCTCCTCTGGTTTGAAACTAAACTTTATTATTCAGAATGTATTTTTTTCAGAACTTGACCAAATAATCATCAGTTTAATTTAAAATATAATTAAGAGTAGACATTTAAAAAATAAAAAAATGTTTCCTGCCAGACTAGACATTAATTATATTTAATTGTAGTGAGTTCTATAATTAAAACATGCCAAACTAGACAGGTCATTGGCAAACAGAAAGTTAGGAAAAGGACCAAGAGGTACTTAGAAATCTAATGATAAATAACGAAGCTTGCAATAATTTTGTTAAGTTAATAGAATTCATTGTGATTTGGAATTGAAGTCCAACCTAGAAACTTGACGTGCCTCTCCCTCCATATATTTTCACTGACATTGTTCAATAGGTGTGTGGTTTCCTTCATATGGACTTTGCACAATTATCAATGTTCTATTCCCCATAGATATTTTGCAATATTGGTTGCTACTGTGCTTTAGAGTTTTCCACAGTATGATATCTAACTTTGATTTTTTTCCCCAAGAGGACAATTATATTCTCCGTACAGAATGTTATTTTTTCTTTGCATTTACATTGTATATACTTGTAATTTAGTTTTCTTGACTAATTGTATTTGCCAGCGTTTTCAGAATGCTAAACAATAGGATAGACCCAAACACACTTTTATTTTTCCTGACTTAAAAGGATGTGTAAATAATAATACTAATAGCCATTATGCATTGAACACATAAGCATCTGACACTTGCATGCAGATCTGATTTGGTAATAAGCTTAACCCTGTGAGGTTTCTGTGTCATCTTGGCCATTTACAGCTGGAGACACTGAGGGTTAGATTAAGAAATGTTTCCAGGTTACACAGCTTATACGTGGCTGAGTTAAGATTTGAACAAGATAGTTTCACCAGAGAAATACACACTGTAAACTGCTAAGCAGCTGACTCTCATTGTTTCTAGTATTTTTGCTTAAAGGAAAATTTTTTCCTGGTAATATAATAATACCATCTTTCTTCAGTTAATGTTTGCTTCATTTTTTTATGCTGTCCTTACAACTTTCAATGTTTCTATCTATTTTAGGTATGTATCTTATATATAAATAGCATATGAATGGATTTTGTTTTTAATCCAGTCTTACAAACTTTGTCCTTTAACTGCAGAGTTTAGTCCATCTATATTTATTGTGATCACTGTTATATTTGGATTTATTTCTACCATCTCTTTTTGTGCTTTCAATTTGTCCTGTATTTTACCTATATTCCTACCCACACCCCACACCATTTCTTACCTTCTTTCAAATTGAGGGGTTTTTGCTTTTGCTTTCTTTCTTCTCATTCCATTTCCCTGCCTCTTCCAGTTTGAAAGTTCCACACTCTATGTCTATTTTTAATGGTTACCCTTCAAATTAGCATGTATATAAAAAATTTATGTTAATCCTTATATTAAAAAAAATTAGGCTGGGAGGAAGGAGAAATGGGGACTTGTTGTTCAACGAGCATAGAGTTTCAGTTCCGCAAGATGACAAAGCTCTAAATATCTGTTGTACAACAATGTGCATATAGTTAATAATATAGTTAACTATACAATACTGTAATGTACATTTAAAAATTGTTAAAAGGGTAAATCTATGTCTTTTACCACATAAAAAAAATTAAAAAAAGAAAGTCAGAGAATTCTATAGCCTCTGAATGAATATTGATTCATTAAAAAATATTGAATGTTTTCTTTTCCCATCAGTCTCACTCAGATTAAATACACTATTTTTTCTTATACATTAGCTCTATCTTGTTTTTATTTATAACTCTACATATAATATTATTAATAGTTTTTAATAAAGTCAGTAGTTTTAAAAACTTCTCCATTATGGTCTTGCATATTTTTGGTTGCATTAGTTCCACGATATTTATAACTTTTGTTACTAGTGTGAATAGCATATTATTTACATTTATTTTTTCCTAGATGGTCTTTCTGGTATTTATAAATGCTATTAAGTATGTTGGTTTTGTTCTGAGCAAACCTACTTAATTCTATTCTTATTTACTTTTTCTATTTTTTAGTTTTTATTGATTTCGTTGGTTTTCCTAAGTAAATAATTATAGAATCATTGAAAAATTCAAGCTTTCAAATTTAACCCTCCAGTCCCTACATTCAGCCACTTCAAGACCTAATCAAAAACATCCAAACATTCACCAAGAGGTAACTTTCAAAATGTCTGTGTAGCAGAGTGTCAGCATTACTATGGGCCAGTGGTTGCTGTTTGTCTCCCAATCTTCCTTTTCTGAAAGGAAGTATTTAGAGTGGCTACCAGATTACTGTGCTACAATAGTATGTAATAGTACGGAGCATGTAACCCTTGATATAGAGGACTGTTGTGCATTATCCCCCAATGAAAGGATGACACATTCTGCACTTTGAACTTGGTGCCATAACTAAGTGGGACTTTGGGTTTGTGTTGCCTCCCTTATGAAGGAGTAAAGTTGTTCCACATACAGGAAGGAGAGTAAACTGAATTTTTGGTGACTAGAAAAGTGAGCTGAGGTAATCAATAAGTTGTTCACTAAACATTTTTGGTCTTCCTTCCAGGATAAGGTGGCACTCCACAGCTTCCTTAAAGTCAAGTTTAGCCATGAAATTTGCTTTGGACCATGAAATGGAGCAGAAGGTTAAAGAGCCATTGCACAATTCACTACGTCCCTTTTCTCTGCTTTGGCCATTGGGGATGCTTAGAGAAGGGGCTCTCCCCAGTTAACCCCACCAGCTGACTTGTCATAGATCTATCAACAGAAAAAGAAAAAAACACTTGTAAATTTTCGCTACTCAAGTTTGGGGTTGTTGGCACCGCAGCTGTGTCTGTCAAATTCATTCAGTGAGTTCCTAATTTTGTTTTTTAAATTTTCCATTTAAAAAATTTATTTTTAGTAGTACTTTTTCAACTATTCTATGTGACATTACAGTTTTGAGCCTTGTACAGAAACTCTCAAGCTTCGCTTATACTTCTTTGAACAGAGTAAGCATACTGGTGTTACTGTCTAATTTGATAATTCCATTATCTGTTGTCCTTGGGGTCTATTTCTGTTGCTGCTGTTGTTTGCTCTTATTTGTCATTCTGCTGGTTTTCCCCCATTTTGTCACGCCTCCTCAATGTGCCTGGTTATCTTTTGTGGTGTGCAGAAGATTGTACTTAAATAATTATTTCTAAGGACAATTTGATGGGTGATGCCATCTTCCTCCAAGTAGCATTTTTGTTTGCTTCTTCCAGGCTCATTTAGGGCACTAGCACCCCTGAATCCCTTTAATTTAAGATTTGATATTTTAGGGTCTACCTGAATGACTCAAAGTAGGCCATGTGAGGACTAGTTTATTTCTGTTCACCTTCACTCCTTCAGTGCAGCTCTTGGAAGGTCTCAGACTAAACGTAAGTTAATTTACCATGTTCCTCATCCTCAGCAGGTACTGGAGAGCAGTGCAAAAAAAAAAAAAAAAAAATTCAGCTTTCTCACCCCAGCAGGAAAATAACCCCTAGTCCTTTGCTCAATTCTTTCAGTTCCTGGCTTCTCCCAGATCTTGCCTGTTAAAGTTTTCTATCTCTTTACTTCCCTAAAGCTTCATAGAAGATTCTTTTTATATTTTTACAGCCTTTTTCATGGTCTTTTTAAGAGGGTTAGCCCAAATTACTTACTCTGCCATTAATGGAAGCAGAAGTCTCCCTAATTCTCTTTTTAGCTGTATTTAATCTGAATTTTTGTTTTAGTTTTTTTACTTTAATTGCCAGAGGTTAGATTTGGTTCTTGGTCAAATCTTATGTTTCTCATTTATATTTTCAATCCTCTTTCACTTCTTTAAACATGTGCATAGATTTCCAATATCTCTGATGATCTGATTCTGTGGTTTTTTATTTTTCTAATTCTCACGTCACCTTTTTTCATCAAGTGTTTTGTGATTTTTGACAGATTGTGAAATCATATTCTCTAAAACATTATACATGAGGAAATTCTGGGGTATGAATTTAGGGTGAGTTTCTCCAGAAAAATTTTATCTGCTTCCACCGGGCATCTGTGGACTACTTGAAATTCAATTCTTGGCTTATGGCATTTGGAACAAATAGAGTTAGAATTTGGGCCTCACACTTGTAAAACTGGTTTATTGTTTCAAATATTCAGAAGTGTCTTTATTCAAGTTTTCCTCTCCCTTTGAGGCTGAGGCTGAGACAGACAAGTTTCCTTACTGGGCAGAGACAATTTTTGATAGTTGTGGAGCCACATTTCCTTCCACCTTTTGGAAGTTAGTAGAGAAGTTAGCTCATCTAAGAACTTCTGGAAGTCAGCTCAGCAGATCTGAGTGAGTTCAATGGAAGAACAGGTTGAGTGGGTTCTATGCTCAGGGGATAAAACATACCCTGGTCTCCTGGAGTTATTCTTTTCCAGTGAGACCACTTCTCTGACCAGGGAGCTTCCATGGTTATAGTGATATTTCTTGCCTTTCTGATACCAGAAGTACATAGAGTATGATCATGGAGGGCTCCTCTCTATGAGAAATTTGGCCATGATGAATGCAAACTATCTTTCGTTGGCCCAAGACATGGGATAAGGAGCATTTGGAGGAATTGCCTGCACACTACTACTTCTCAGCTTGTAAGTTTTCCTCCAAATAAATCAAGTTTATGTACGAGCTACATGATGCTAGTGGAGTGAGGGTGTAGTCCTTGATGATTACAGATTTATGCCAGCATTTCCATTCTGACTCTTCTTTTATGAGTGGTTTTGGGATATTATCTCTTATTCTCTGTTTGTCCATTACATCTGAAGCTATAAACTACCCAGGATGGGCAATTTTCCCAAGGAAGCCAGTAGCTTTGATGATCCTTTCCCTCTCTGGAATCAAACTTTTCCTTCGTTTTTAATCTCTGAAATTTTCTCTGAAATTTTTTTTCAAGATCAGGTGTGCATTTAAAATGATTGTTAAAACTTTATAGGGCATTTTAAGTGTTCTTAAGAGGAGGATTTCAGGTAACCTTACCCACAACACTTGTAGAAACAGAAATCAGCCTTCATAGAAGTGTTTCTTTTGGTCATTCTTTAATTCTATTTGTTCCTGATTTTTCATTCCTTTTCTGAAAAAACTGTATCTTGTTACTTATATTACCATTCGCCCAAACACCTGTTTTGATCAAGCCACGCATTCATTATTAAAAATCACAGAGAACCACTTCCGTTCCAATGACCAATGACTCAAGACTTCCTGTCACAACTAATTGACATATAATGAGAAAGAAATTGTATTTTCTGTAGGTTTGGGGGGATGCCTGATTGGACCAAGTTTAATATGACACAAAAACTCATAACTCACCTCCTGCTGATGTCTCCTCTGCAATTTTTTGTATATGTATTACCTTCTTTTTCTGTACAACTAATATCACAAAAATAACTACCCATGTCTAGATGTTCCTTACCTGATTAAGAATTACTCCAGTCAGAGCGGAAGAAATTATTCCTCCTACCGTTCCAATTACAAGCACAACTCCATTAAGAAATCCACAATATCTATGCAAAAAGAGAATAAGAATGAGAATAACAGCAAAGAATGAGAATAAACAGATGTCAAGTAATACAAATGCTGCAGGAAAAGCCAACCTAATCAAATGAGGTTTAAGAGAAAGAACTGCTGATTTCCTGAATTTCCCATTCTTATTTCTATTAAATTCCATTAAAATGTCAGAAAAAGTATGTGGATATAAGTAACTTTCTGGTTGCACTACAGAATCAGAAAGCTTGGCTTTAGCAGTAAAGGATAGTAAAATATTGAGAAAATGAGACCATATTAGAGTGAAAGCCAGCAGAGTTAGGAAATCTATAAATACGGCTGAGAAATTCAAAAGGTGATGTGGGTTGGTAGTAGGAACTGGTTTAGGGTTAATACAGAATTGAAGGACTCTGTTCACCTGGTCTGTTCACACAGTCCCAGAGCTTCTGGCCCCAACGATTGCTCCCAATACTCAGGCAAGGAAACCAGAAGCCTAGTTTACAAGAAACTGTAATTATCCAATCCTGGATGCCCAAACCAATTTCAACAGAAAGTGAGCTACAAAAGCAGGGAAGCCATGGAGAATAATAGATAAAGTAGAGGTCAATCCATGAACCACACAGAGCAAAAGAGTGCCTTTTGGAGAGCAGAGTCGTGTCTAATCAAGAAACGGGTTCACTCCAGGAGAGAGTCTTTGCCTTTCCTGCCCAACAGATTTCACAGTTAAATGTTCTGTGTTTTCAGTTCTTCCCTTTCATGAGAGGGAGGGCTTTCTGTTTGTTTTGTTCTGTTCCTTTTGTTTTATTTCCCTGGGTCGACTCCATTCCTTCTCTGCCTTTATGTGTTGAATATGGGGGGGAGTGTATAGTTTGTTTATTAGTTTATGGGTCCCTAGTCAGAGAGGCATCATATCTGGACCTAGAGTCCCTGGATGTTGAGCTGTATGCAGTCACTGGGTGGAAATTTGAATTCTCTCTTTTTAGGGAGCTGGAGAGTGTGGTCTAACATGTGAAGAAGAACATATATGGTTATGAGCAGCAACAGGTGCAGATTTGGGCAGAAACCGTCAATTGTCCCCACAATTCATTGTTCTCTTTTTCATTTTGGCAATAGAACCCCTGGGGTTTTGGTGGGAATAGGGCCACTTACGCCTTTTGCAAACCCTTGTTCCTTTTGCCTTAATGAGTCCCTATAAAAATATTAAAAATTATATTTTTATGACTGTGTGTGTGTGTGTTTTGAGGGACTTTCCAATTTCATCTAAATTGTCGGATTTATTGGCATGAAGTTGTTCATGAAATGCTGTTATTTTCTTCATTATGTGCTAGGACTTACCATAATGCACCTTTTTTCATTACTGATTTTGATAATTTTTCTCTTTATTTTTCTTGATCAATCTTCTTTATTTCATCAATTTTATTAATTTTCAAAAGAACCAACTTTTGACCCTATTGGTTTTACATATGTAAAAAGTACATATTTTATATTATTACATATTATACATGTAATTATTTACAATTACATATTATTGTCCTAATCTTCCTAATTTCTTTCCTCCTACTTGCTTTGGGTTTAATTTGCTGCTTTTTTCCTACCTACTTAATATAGAAACGTGATTATTGATTTTAAGATTTAATTGTCTTTCAATATGTATGTTTAAAGCTATACATTTCTCTCTGGGTATGATTTTAAAAGCATCCCACATGCTTTGATATGTTATATTTCATTATAATTTAAAGTATTTTCTAATTTCAATTGTGATTTCTTCTTTGACCTAAACATTAGTTTCAAAGCAATGGGGGTTATCTATGTTTTGCTTTTGATGGTAACCTTAATTTCACTGTGATCAAAGAATATATTTTGAATTATTTCAGTCATAATAAATTAATTGCAGGTTGCTTTATGACCCAGCATATTGTCCATTTCAGTAAATGTCCCACAAGCAACTGAAAAGAATGTGAATTCTCTCCTTGTTGAGTGCAGTGTTCATATGTCAATCAGGTCAACTCTGTTAATTTTTTTTGTTCTAATAATCGATATCCTTACTAACTTTTTCTCTGCTTCTTTTTTTTGTGCATGTTATTGAAATAAGTGTGTGGAAGTCCCCTCCTTCATTGTAAATTTGTCTAGTTCTTTGAGTTCTCCTAACTCATGATGAGTATAAATTGAAGCTATATTATTGGGTTCAAATAGATGTAGAATTCTGCTATTTTTCTCTTTACCATTATGAAATATCACACTTTATTTCCAGTAACGCTTCTTGCATTAAAGTCTATTTTATCTGATATTAACATAGTTATTCTAGGTCTCTTTTGGTTAATATTTGCTTGGCATATCTTTTTCCATCCTTTTATTTCATCCCTTCTGTATCTTCATGTTTAATGTGTGTCTTTTATTTGCAGCGTAGAGCTGCATGTTGTTTTTTATTCAGTTTGACAATCCTCATACTTGAGTATTTCATATTTATGTAGTATAATTACTGATATACTTGTGATTATCTTTATCTGTTTACTATTTATTTTTTGATCTCTTCTTTTACATTCTACTTTTTCTTTCTTTTAGATTCATCCATTTTAATGTCATTTTTCCTTCTACATTATTTTGTTATTCTTTTCAAGCACTGAAAATATTATAACATGCATTCTTTACTTCAGTGTATCATAAATTGTAGTTTTACTATGCTCTCTATAATGCCAGAATCTTAGAACATTTTTAACTCTATGTATCTTCCTCCTGCTCTTTGCATTATTTCATCCTATATTTTAATTCCTTAACACATTTTATTTCCATATGCATTTCACCTCACAAGGTACTCTCTGTTGTTTTTAAAGATCAATAGTATCTGTAATTATGCCCATATTTACCCTCCTATTGCTTCTCAGTCCTTCTTGCATTTTCAATCCTGAAAATTCCTTTTAGCATTTCTTTTAGTGAAGATCTGCTGGTGACAATTTCTCTGTTAGCCTGTTTGCCTGAAAACCTTTCTATTTCTGCTTTGATCTTTGAAAAATATTTTCACTGAGCATAAAATTCTAGGCTGGCATTTATTAATTTTTCAGCAATTTGTAGAGCTCATTTCATTATCTTCTAGTTTTCAAGGTTTCTGTTGAAAAGTCGGACGTTAGGCTTACTATTGCTACTTGAAAGTATCATGTCTTTTCTCTCTACTTCCTGGTGAGATTTTTGACCTTGTCTTTGGTTTTCAGCATTCTTACCATATACATATATATATATATACACACACATATATATATATTCAACATTTTATCATAGTTGAAATTCACAGAGCTTTGTGCACGTGTGGTTTACTGTCTTTCATTGTTGTCTTTCATTATTTGGGGCTATTTTCTCTTAAAATATTGCTTATGTCACATTTATCTCTTCTTTCCTTCTGAGACTTAAGTACAGATTTCTTAGCCTTTTTACTTCAGTCCACATTTCTGTTATTCTCTTTTGTGTATTTTCTCTTCTTTTTTTTTCTCTAGATACTTCAATCTGGATATTTTCTTGTGATATGTCTTTTAGTTTACCACTTCTGTCTCCTCTTTGGCTAATTTGTAACTAAACTTATCTATTAAGATCTTAATTTCAGACATTTTATTTTTCAATTCTGGAACTTCCATTTGCTTGTTCCTATAGATTCCAACACTGGTCAAATTCTTTATCTTTTCACTTGTTTTCTTAAGCTTTTCCTTTGGTTTTTGGATATATTAATCATAGTTATTTCAAAGTTCTTCTTGCCTGATAACTTTAATATCTGTATCAGTTGTAGGACTGTTTCTAACAGCATTTTATGGTTATTGATCACATGGCCCTATCCCTTGGGATACCCAGTGATTTTTATTAAATGCTTGACATTGTGAATAAGAAGGTATATGGACTCTGGAATATGTTATGCTTTGCCAGAAAAGATTCACCCTTTTCTCTAATAGTATCTGGATTTGGAGGGAGGGAACTGATCACTTTAATCTAATTAGGGAATGAACTGAGATGAGGCTAGCTTTCTATTTTGATAAGACTCAGTTTACCTCTGGTACCCCGCTGTTCCTTGGGTACAGCCCTCCAGGGTGTGTTAAACAGAGAGCTCAGTATATTCAGTCGGATCCCTCCAGGCCCTGGTAAATCTCGTCTCCTCAGCATAGTTGGTATGGGAAATTCTGCCATGCTTCTCATAGGTTTTTAGCTTAGATTTTTTTGCCCTTTGCCCCATCAAATTTCAGAATTCAACAAATATTTCAAGGAGAAAAACTACTTTGCATTTAAGTTCTCTTAAATTTTCAATTTTTTCACCCCAGCACTGTGCAACTACCAAATGCTTGGCTAATTTCTCTATCCAGAGCAGCAGACTTCTACCAGGGCCAAACCTGGATTACCAGCCCTTTTCCAATTCCCAGAATTAGCGAATGATGCCAAGGAAAAATTGATGGGGACTGTCAGCTCACCTCTTGGAGGTGCTAGCCTCTGGTGTCTGCTCTTATTTGCCTCTGCTGCTGTCTGATGCCTTTTAGTGAATACTTTTGATATTTTATCTTGCCTTTTCAAGTTTTTCCCAGCTCGAATGTCAATCATCTACAATTTGCTCAATCCCATGTGGAAGTTTAACAGTTTTCTCAAATTTTGCTTTATGGCTGTAAAATGTTAGATGCATAGAAATTTAGAACATTATATCTTCTAGTGGATTAAAATACTTATTAAAATATCCTTTTTTGTCTCTAGTAATGTATCTTGCCTTAAAGTCTACATTGTCTGATCTATTTTCCTTTTAATTTATATTTTGTTTTTGCTTTTATTTTAATCCAGATTAATTTAAAATTTGGAAGATTTATTCCTTTTATATTTTATGTTTTTCTGATACATTTGACTTAAAATGATCATCATTCTATTTTTTCCCCATCTATTCTATGTTCCTTTTTAACTTCATTCTTGATTTCTTTTTCATTAATTGTTTTTTAAAAATATCATCTCCTTTACATTTTTACTATCCTTCAGTAGTTGCCCTAGAGAGTAAAACACATATCCTTGACTTATTTTAGTCTAATATGTTAATATTTTTTTATCTATTTTTATTAATGAAATTGCCTTAGAACACTTAAATTCATTTATACTCTCTCATCTTTTGTGCTATTGATGTGCATTTACATTTACATATAATTTATACCCTATAAGGTATTATTGTTTTTGTTTTGTGAATTCAGAAATTATTAGATTTACTCTGATATTTTTCCTCTCCATCTCTCTTCATTTGTTCCTATACTTCTATGCTTTATCTGTGATTATTTTACTTCTGCCCGAAGCATTCTCATTTAATAATTCTTTCATTAGAGGTCTGTTTCTGATAAATTCTCACAGTTTGCCTGAAAATGTGTTTACATACCTTAATTCTTAAAGGGCATTTTTGCTGGATATGGACTTCTAGGTTAACAGCAATTTTTTGCATGTTAGAGATTGGCTTCTAGCTTTCATTGTTTCTGCTGAGAAGGCAGCTGTCAGTCATTATTGCTCCTTTGAAACTAATGTGCCTTTTGTATATGGCTGTTTTTAAGAGATCTCTTTCTTTCTCTTTCCCCTGTCCCCACCCACCAGCCATTTTTTGCAGTTTTACTACGACAAATCTAGGTATAGTGTTTTTTCCTTTTATCCTATTATATATATTCTGTAACTATGACATCTTTAATGACTATGCTCTTCTCAATTTCAGAAGTCTTTAGTGTGCTGTGGCTGTGGAAAGGATATGACCTATTTTTACTGCAAGAGATGCTTTTATTACATACTCAGAGATATAAATAGAATTCCCAGTGTCAAGAATCCTGAGTGCCATGACAATTCCTCTGAAACCCATTACACATCCACAGGATGGAGAGGTAAACTTATCTGTGAGTAGCAAGGTGAGAGCTTTTTATGCTCCATCCCTCATGCCACCCAATCCCCAAACAGTAGGTATTTGATATGGGCAATGAAAATAACCTTGAGGTTGTTCTCAGGCAGGGCAATTTTCTGAGCAACAATCAGCTCTAAAATTGCTTATTCTTCAGCTGCAACAGCCCATGGTAAAAAACATTTTGGAAGTGTAAATAGCCACCAAAGCAGACTTTCAATTTTATTGATTTTATATTTTGGCATAATATGATTTAGTAGAACCTGAATAAGATTCAGATGTCTGAATTATAGTTTAGTCCCACATGGAGCGAAATTCAAGCGTTCACGATCCATTCATCAGTCAAAAATATTTAAAAGCAATTAAAATTACTTTCGGAGCCTCCCTTTAAGAATGTCAAGGGGTTGGGGCCAGCCCTGTGGCGTAGTGGTTGGGTTCGGCATGCTCTGCTTTAGTGGTCTGGGTTCAGGGTTTTGGATCCCAGGCATGGACATACGCCACTCATCAGCCATGCTATGGCAGCAACCCACATACAAAATAGAGGAAGATTGGCACAGATGTTAGCTCAGAGCTAATCTTCCTCAAGCAAAAAAAAAAAAAGAATGTCAAGGGGATGGCAGTGCCTTCTTAATGCATCACAAAGCATCTTTAGAACCCTTTATACGTTTCTACTCTTGCTACCCCTCAAAGAGATGGCAGCCACTACATTCTCAGGTCTTCTCTGTCTCACTCAATCCCATTTCCCAAACAATATTCTCACATAACCATATCTGTATGTCTCTTCTTTTTCCTTCCAGACCTTCTTTCTTGCCACCTTTGTTCTGCTCATACAAATGAAATCTCTTGTCCTACTCTTCAGTTCTAACAAAGACCAAATTCCCCTAAAAGGATAATTTAGAAATTTATCCTCTAAGGGAACTCTCTTTAAAAGCGAAGGGAGGTATATGATTAGGAACATTCTTGCTTAAATAAGTTTTGTCTCCATCCCATTAATAAAAAATAGTTTAAGCAATAAAACTTGATATGGTTGAGATATAGCATATATATGCCCTAAAGATTGAGGATGAACTAGGTTAAGAGACTAATAATTTTTTCCAAATTTTATATTAGTGTATTTATTCTCTCTGACTCTACAAAATTACTTGGCTATCATGGAATTTGGGCCCATTGGAATGATGCAACTCAGGCCAAGTCCTGTGTTACCCAAATCATTGCTGGCTGAGATAATTTCACATCCTATTGACCAGGTGCTGGCAAATAACACTGGTAAGGGAGTGACTACAGCTAATCAGCTTTGGAGGCAGACATATCCAAGTATGAACCCTCACTCTACTTATTACTAATCATGTGACTTGATATAAATTCATTTCCCTGGTCTTTTGTTTCCTCACCCACACTATGTGGATAATATTATTTCACTCACACTGGGGTATGACAGGCACATAAAAAATACTCAATAAATAGCAGCTACCTATAATTTCCTTTATCTATTTGTGCATACATTCTTAATTTACCTGGTTTTCAAAGTGCATATAGCTCAGTTGGTATTGTGCATTCTATTATCAAATGATTCTTTTGCATCTTTATACAATTCCAAGTATTAATCAGAACACCTACAGCCATTTTTAAAGAAGGTCTCAGAACTGAATAAATCAAATGGATACATGTCTTCATTACTCTGGCACTCACGTTGTGTGGATGTGATGGGCAAGATTCTTTACAGAACTGTGACAAAGTGGATTATTCTTGGTTGATTTTGCCTCTCTACCTCAGGGCCACTGCTTTACAAAACTTCAGAGAATGCTGTTCATAGTGGGTCTATGTTCTCCAGGGAGTGCTAGCCCCACAAAGTATGATGTGAACAGCATCCCCTGGAGTTGTGCAAATGGCAGAGCTGCTTCCATCAGTCACACTTATTATATCTAAAAAAGGAGGCATAACATAGTAAAAAGAGAAAAACTTTTTTGCCAAACAGCTCTGGATTAAAATCCTAGGTAAGATCCCAAACCAGTGGTGAGATCTTACTGTAACGATTAAGTATCTGAACCTCAGTTTCCTTAGTTATAAAATAAATATTACTAACTGATGAATTGTCATGAGGATTAATAATATATAAACATTCATACAACAACAATAATAATGGAGTAGCTAAACCCTTATACAGTGTTTGCTATGTGCCAGGCACTATTCTATTTATTGACCTATATTAACTTATTTAATCTTCTTAATAACTCTATGAGGTAAGCATTCTCTTGTTACTCCCATCTAACAGATGAGAAGCAGGCACAGAGAAGGTAAGCAATTTGCTTGAGGAAAATAAGCGTGATATTACTGAAACTCAACAGTCTGACTCTAGAATCTATGCTCTTAATCACTGGGCTATACTTCTCCATATATATATGAGAGTTGCATACATTTACATATATCATTAGCTACATAATTATTACTTAAGTTATATGTCTCACCTATTGATGCTTCTTCAGAACTTTTGGCCTGCTGGCCATGGGCTCCAAAATAGTTGAAATCTTAAAAAACCCTGGAAAGCTGGCATACAAAAATAAAAGAGATTTTTAAAACCCTACCTGGGAGTGATATCCAAGTTATTTATAAATATTCCGGCTACACAAAAGCTTTCTGTTGCACAAGCAAGTATCAGGAAAATGATAGTGCTATAGAAGCTGGAACTCAGGTAGAGCACGAACACACAGAAGAGGGCAGGCAGGAGAAGTCCTGGGAAGTGATTCAGACAACACAGTCAGGTGCATCCTGAAGATGGAGGTGAAGTACACCAAAATCTTGAATGTTCTGGCTTTTCCTTACCTACATGGTGAAGAGTTTTCGGATGTTAACTATGCTGAAAATATTCCGGGACAGGAGGAAGTCTGACACTTGACCTGCTAGGATACTAAAGATCCGGGCAAACAAATGGGGGAGGGCAGACAGCAGCCCATGCTAAGGAGGAAATGTTATTTTGAGAGTGAATATAACAGGTAGAGTAATCCCTACACTGAAATTCAGTATCTAAAATTTGTACTTTCATGCAGGAAAACATCAACATACATCGCTAGAATTGCTGCTGGGGCCACACTACCCAAAAGAAAGAGAAAAATAGTTTTGAGGTTAGAAACAGTTGTCACAATCTGTCTAGTTTTCTATTTTTAGTATTATGGGACCTGAAAGGACTGGGTAGTAGAGAGGAAGACTATGTTGGGAATGGGAAATGCTGGCCTTGGAGAAAATGATAGAGATAATAATGATAACTGCAAACATTCATATGGTGCTTACTTTGGACCAGCTGCTGTTAATCCTTGCAACAACTCTATGGTCTCATGAAAGATAAAATTGAGTCAGAGAGAGCTTAAATAATCTCACAGTTACGCTAGCCCCTAGGCTGGGTTACTGGAGGTTCATTATAGAATGCCCTAAAGTGGCAAGCCCAGATTCCATTTCTAAAAGAGTCTTTTCTGGTTATTGTGGCATCAAACAACAGAAGATTCCAGGCGTCAGTGATTCTCCAAGTCAGAGAAGCAATAAGAGTACCAGTCCTTTCAGAGCAAGACCTGAGTCATGGGTTCACAACCCAGGACTCATTGCCTTACCCCAGGGGAGAAGATTGGTAGGAGCTGGGGAGGGTGGCAGGGCCTGGCCAAGTGACTTTCAGGGAAGGATCCCAGTTCCTGTAGGGAATGATGGTGTTGAGCCTTAATACACAAGGGCAATCATACAGTGAATGGGAGGTAGGGAACCTGTGGGAACATGGGTAAGCATGCATTGTTGTGGGAGTGCTGGATACTGTGTCTACACCTTTTGTTCTGTGCAATGTTGACATAAAAATTGGCAACAGTGAGTTTCTAGGGAAAGAACATCAGCTAAACAGTGTAAGGCTGGGCAAGAGCTAAGACTAGAGTCATGAGAGACAGAGAAATGAGCATAGAGTCCTTCATAAAGTTAAAAGGAGAATGGAAAGTATACTTACTGCTTTTATATCAACATGAAGCTTGGAGTTGATAAACGTTGGAGTATAGAAAATTATGATGGTATTTGTCCACAAAAAAGCAAAACTACAGAGGCAAATGGCCTAGAGTGGAAGAGACTTAAGCATAGTCTTGATGGGCAGAGAGTGTCTACTTGAGCTGACCTGGAAAGGAACCCATTAATTCTTAGCACATTAGGACAAGCTGGAACACATTTCATTTGGTGCAGAATCTGGGAGATACCAAAGTGGAGTATCTGTGTTATACCTTCTCCTTTTTTGAAACTTTGCAACAAGGCTCCTGTTTTTGACAGGACTCTCTGTATCCACAGCTGCCTCTCCATACAGAATGAATTTTACAGAAATGGTGGTAAGCCCTCTGGCCTCTCCCAATCTCCTAGCCTCTGTATCCCTCCATTCACGACAACTGGGCCTCCCTGCTCTAGGCTCTCATCTCTGCGTATTTCTAATATGTTCCACCATGAAAGTATGGCACAGCTGAGCCCACACAGGGCTTGACAATCACTCAGCTTTGAGAGATAGGCTTTAGCCATGCTCTTAAGATACAGTCCAGGCCTCAGAGAGTGTTCAAATCCTAAAAAATGTTTGCCAAATTAATTTTTTTTTCAGTTTTATAAGCTAATGACCTAATCATAGGGAATCTTCTGTTAGGACAAGGAGTAGGTAGTGCTCATCAGTCAGTCTTCCCAAAATGTATCCATTCATTTGACAAATATTGATTAAACGCCATTATGTACCATGCACTCTTCTAGGTACTGGGAATACAGCAGTGAATAAAATAGACAAGAATCCTTGCCTTCATAGAGCTTACTTTTTAGTGGATAGCAAGAGAGATAATAAAAAGTAAGTAAGTAAAAGATATTAAATGTCAGTAGCAAGAACTATGGAGAGAAGTTATGGGGGGACGAGGTGATGACTGCCATGCTCAGGGAAGGCTGTGACATGGATGTGGGGCAAGGACATTCCAGGCAGAGGAAGCAGTAAGTGCCAAGGCCCTGTGTTATGAGGCCAGTGTGACTGGAGAGGGAGCATGGGGAGGGTAGAAATGGATGAGGAGAGAGGGGAGTCAAGATGGCGGCGTAGGCAGACTCTGAACTCACCTCCTCCCGTGGACACAGCCAATTTACAACTACCCGTGGAAAAATT